AGACAGTAGTAAGGAAGGGCGCAGCCACGGTGACGTCACACACTGACCCAGGCGCTGAGCGTCTTTGCAGTCGTCATTTTGGCGTTTGGTAACCGAATGTGACGAGCATGCATATAGCCCTCCATTCTGACTCACAAAATAGACTTCATGCTTTGTTCAGTATTAGTACGTGGCCATTCTGCAGTATTGTGGTCTATGATCTTTAGTCATAGTCACCTTCGTATCTGATGTAGATGAGAACCTTTAGGTTCTCATCTACATCAGGATTGATGAGAACCTTTAGGTTCTCATCTACATCTACAACTACTGGAAACTGTGTGCCAGTTTTGGTTGCTTAACTCATGATCACATAAGATGAACTGAAACTAGTAGCTTGTCAGCTGAGGGTGTGTTTTAAAAAAAAACAATCATCTGATTTCTCAGAGCTTTAGTTCCCGCAGCTGTTCGCCGATAACGATCGAGCGGACAGCTGTTGTGCGTCCAGAGGGGCGCACTGTTGAGGATTGGTGAACATTGTACGTTTTGTATGTAAAACTTACTATTCAGCCATTCATTTTAATATTTACCACAACTTTCCACGTCTGTTACTTTAAAAAGCCTTTTGAAATCAGATGATTCTTTTTGATCCACCCTCTAATTTTAGCGCCAGAGGCGTCGCCCCCTTTTCATGATATAAAAGAAAACACTTTCCATCTTTTAGATCATCAACAGGGGCGTCAGTTTTAACATTCGGAAGTTAAGTCCATCTTTTCTGTTGTCTGTGGTGCACGGAAAGCGTCTACCTCCACATTACCGCATTGTTCTTGAATGTGATTGGTCAATAGTGGCACTTTATTCTACAGGTGGATTACAAACAGAAGCCAGGCCTCTCGTCCCCTCAGTGCAAACATCTTTTTATAGACGTTACAGACTAAATAATAAGCTACCCGCACCCTCTCTCATGCCTCTTTTGATCTGCTTTGCCTGCAGTGATGAGTCAGCTGTAGTTTGCAAGGTTAAACATTTGGCATGTCAGGAATGTTTTTGTCTTTATTGTCTTCCGGTACCTCCTGTGCAGACTTGGCAGGTAACACCAAATAACTGAAAATCCGATCAGTCATTTGTAAAATAAATAGAAATGGAGCCCTTTCTTCACATTAAGGCCAAATTCCTACTGACCCCACCTGTGTGATGATTGCAACTGTGTGAGAAAGTTGTTTTTTCTTATAATTAACTAAAACTAGATGCGATTTCAGTTGTTTACTTGTGATATGACAATAAAGAGTTGATTCCAAAAATAAAAGGCCTGTTTCCTCTTCTTATCCAGGTGTACGAGTGTTTGCTTTTTTATTTCCATGTTCAGGTTTCGAGATAATTTTGAGATCACCTAAAAAAAAAAACAATGGCGCTGAATGGAATCCGGATTTGTCAAAACAAAGACGTTTTGCACAACTGAATTTCACCCAGATTCTTGTCTTTATCGCCTTCGACGATAAAGTTCAGTAAACTCAAACTGAATGCAGAAAGGCTGCACTGTGCGTGCTTCTCATGAGTAAATATTAGCACTGTATGAAGTAACTGCTGTATTTGTGACGTGACCGTTTGTTTGGGAAACAAGTTTGATAATGTACAAAAAGCTCGAGATTATAGTCTAAAACAGCTTTTTTACAGG